GGACGAGCTATATGCCTTCGTAGACGCATACACAAAGGACTATGGCATCACCGAGAGCTCACCACGCGAAGAGCGGTTCTTTCGCAGCTCCATTCCTCCCTGGTTTGCGGCCTCCGCTCACCGGGTCACCATCGGTGTGGAACTTCCGATAGACCACTCAATAACTGACGAAGAGGAGCTGATACAGGAAAAGCGCAGAGTCAGCGAAGAGGCTCTGGCGCTGCACAGCCATCGTTCGTGGATACTTGCGACCGATGGCGGTGTCGACGTTCCCAAGTCAGCAGGGGTTGGAATACTGCTTTCATCCCTCAACTCATCGGAGATAATAGAAAAGGCCAGCATAAACTGCGGTGCACGCCCATGCAGCCACAGGACGGAATCCCGTGCGCTGCTTCTAGCCCTAGAGAAGCTGATGATTCCTCGTATCCGCCACAGGCGTAAAACCCTGCTTGTGGTTACGGACAGTCAGTCTCTTCTAGCGGCTCTAAACAAGGGCCCGCTCAGTCAGACAGACTGGACGGAGGATCAGATCTGGCAGCGTCTCTTGACACTGACGTGTGCTGGCTGGTCCGTGCACCTGCAGTTTTGTTACGGACATTGTGGAGTACATGCTAACGAGCTTGCAGATCAGTATGCGACGCAGACTATGGAAAGTGGACAATACACGGAACATGGGATCGCACCTTTATGGCATACGGATCTGCCGACATGTTTGACTACCCAGCTCACCAACAAGTGGCGTAGTACCCTTCGTCAAGACACTCATCGCTACTTGCTTTGCGGCACAAGGCCATCAGATCTCAGCGGTAAGGACCTGATCACTCAGGAAGTTCTACACCGTCAGGAACTGGTTCACCTCGCAAGGGCAAGGTGCGGGGAATCCGAGCTCTGGGGTCGACTATACTGGGCCGTGAGAGATTGCACGAACCAATGCCGATTCTGCAACGTCTCACCGGAACAGTCTGCATATATGCGCTCTAACGACGATCCAACTGCACCGGGGACGGACACTGTTCCCCCGTCGGCGAGGGAGGAAGACGTCTCTCCAGTAAGGAGACGGACCCTCACACGCCGTCGGAAGGAGAAATGTCCGCACTGTGATTCCACATTGACGGGATTCTCGAATCTCGTCAGTCACTGTCGGTCATTCCATCCGAAACATCCCCCACCGCTTCCCGAGCTCAAATGTGATTTCTGTGACATGGTTTTCCCCACACGGAGAAGCACCGCACAGCACAGAAGTCGCTGCGCACACAACCCAGACGCCACACGGCATCGAAACAGCAGTGCCAGGAGGCGATCTCCGCTGCCGCAGGATCAGCCAGCTTCCACAAGCACGCCAATCGGCCCGCAGGAAACCTTGCACCATCTGCTTCTAGAATGTCCAGGCACCTTGGCTGTGCGTCAACGGCTGGGCATTGAACAGGACCTTCGCCTCGGAAAGTTCTCTCAATGGCAATTGCCTCATAGCAGGAAACTTTTGTCGTTGCTCGACCACCTCTTCGGCACTCAGATGGCACTGTATAGCTAGACGCGCTGGTAAGAATAGAAAAAAAAATCTACTGAATTGGTTGGTGGCTTCTGCGGATGTAAAGGCAAGTGTCCATGGTATCACTAAAAGGTTTTTGGATGCAGCTCTTGAGAAGGCGAGTAAACCAAAGAAGTCTAGTGCACCGATATACCCGAAGGGATGCTACGAGTCTATGTACAATGCGAGGTGGCATCACGTTGTGGGGTTCCTGTTGGCGAGGGGACGGTAATGGAAGTGAGGGAAGGGGAACCACCACAGCCATGGACGTATAGGGCAGTTGGCGACTCTCTCGAAAAGGATGACGGTGTGGAGCAATCCGGTGCAGCACGTTGAAAGCTGATGGTGCTCACCTCGGACAATGGATGGCCGTACTCGTGGCCGTTGGGGCCGTCCATTCGTGACTGCTACGTGAACTGTAAGGTTGAGAGAGTGTGGCAGATCGTCAAGGGCGATCTGGCCGAACGGTTCAGCACTGACGGTGAGCCCTACTTTACGCCTGATCCGCGTGTGTTGATTGGGACTCCCGGTATCGGGAAGTCGATGGGTGCCGGCTCGTACCTCCTCTACCAGCTGTCGCACTGCGATGTCGAGAAACTCCAATTTGTTGTCTACAGTTTTGGTGGAAGTACGACGTACGTGTGTGACAAGACCATCAAGACGGTCACAAGATGCGTGGGTAGAGGAGCATCCAGGAATGTTTTGTATGATTTGTGGCGTTTGAAGGGGCATGGGAGGAATGTGTATATTTTCTACGACGTGACAGAGAAAGGGACACCGCCAGCGGAATATTTTGTGTCTAGCACCGGATGGGGCATGAGTGTGGTGTCATCGCCAAACGTGGGCAACTGTGGTGAATGGGAGAAGCAGGTAAAAGCCGAGCGAATCATCGTGAATTGCCCCGACGAGATGGATGTGAAGGCGATGTGTACATGGATGGAGCGCGATGGGACTGCAGAGAAAAAAGTGGAATACTGGAGGATGGTCAAAGAACGCATGGATAAAGTGGGGTTGATTCCACGTCACATCTTTGATGCGAATAAGTTCATTGCACACTCCGCTGCCATTGAGGATGCCTTGAATGGGATCAATTCTCGGGACGGTGAAAAGCACTTTACACATCGGGAGTGAGGCTGTGGTATTCTGGGGATCCGTCTCAAAAACTCGTGAGGGTTGCCCGAGGAAGAGGAGAAGTTGGTACTGAGTGATTTCTTAGCGCACCGATATCTGTTTGCCTCGGGCGTCGAATACCGCACTATTTTGGGAGACGCGATGAGTGATGGGGATTTAGTTCTGTTGCTAGTATTGGGGAAGAGGAATACTCTTTCTTCTGAATGTACGGGAGGGTTTGGCTTGCGCGCATTCATGTTCGAGGTGAGTTTGCCAGTGCATTATTAGAGGAACTCAAGGAGCTGAGGCCACCAGCACGCCGTGGAGGGCGGTGCGCGGTGCTGAAAGCGATCCCTGAAGGGCACTCCACCGAGTTATATGCGTATTGCTTGCAATGGAATACCATACAAATACTAATATAAAGCATCGGCTGCTGTGCATACCGGCGGTTGGAGCCTTTTTGCTGGTGGACGGCTTTTTCTTTGTGGAGTCAAATCCGAGGACGCTGGTTGGGCTGCGGATGGCTAGGGCGGGTGAGCACCACACCACCGCCAGCACTGTGAGGCAGTTCACTGAGTGTCCGGCGGCATATTTTAATGGTTGGGAGGAGTTATCCCGAGACATGTCGTGGGAGATTATTTATGTGCAGCACGCAGACAGCACGCCGCTAAATGACTGGCAGAGATGTGATGTCGTCAATTCGGATAGTGTGAGCCGCGATGAAGGCCGAGAGATTGCGGTGTTCTGGAGGAAGAGGTGCGCCAGTACCAAGTGTCAATATCATCTGGGGGCTTTGGAAGAGACGCAGCTCTCCGAAGTGAGGAATAGTCACGGAAATAGGAAAACAAATTAGGGAGGGAAAGGGACAATTTTGATTTTTGGTAAAAAGTAATGTGGGATATAAATTTTTTTGGATGCTTGGGTGCATGCATACAGTGCGGGTGCACCAGCACAAGACGGCAGTATACCGCACACGAATGCGAAAAACGTCCAACGCTATCGAACATAACATTGGCAGAATAAATTATGGAGGGAGTGGGGTTGTTTGGCTTCTGGTGAAAAACATTGGGTGGTTTTTATATAGTATGTTTATTGTGTGTGCATACGAGGCATAACTGGAAAACTGCCTCGGTATGAGGGAATCATTGCGGCTGGCGGTGTCACGGTGTTACTTCATTGTCCATTTCCTCTATTGTGTTCTAAGGCCCATCACTAGCAGAAGAATCTTAAAGGGATGGACGAAGGATAAGATCTATTAGAGAAATGGCGCGTTCCGTGTGAACGCATGGAGTGAGGCGCCGCTTCATGGATGGATGAGGAGTCGCTTCTGCGTGTTTGGCTCTGTGATGATTGCTCGCTCCGTGTGCCGGCAGCGGGGCTGTGGCCGTGTTCCGTTGTCCGTGGGATTTGAGCTGGAGGCGGTGGCGGTGTGTCTCTTCTTCTCCTCGTCCATTGGTGTGTGGCTGCTGGCGGTGTGTGCCTTCCTTTTGTGGAGGGCCGAACCTTCTCACCCGCGGACTGACGGCACTGCGATGGTGTTTGTGTTTGTGAGGGCTGGTGTGGAGTTGCCGGCCAGGGCGAGGGCCGTGGAGGTGCTTTTCCCGTCTGTCTTTTGTTCTTTTGTGTGTTTTGTGCTGCTCCTTGCTTTTTCTCCCTTTTCTCCTGTGTTCCTGCGTGGGGTGGCCGCATGCTCACGGGCCATGTTGATCGTAATTGCCTCTTGACGGCGTCCATTAATCTCTCTCCGCCTGTCTGTCTGTCTGTCCTTTCCTGTTGGTTGTGAGGCGTGTTGCACCGCGTGAGGGCTGGCCCGCACACACCGACGTCCAACCGTGACTTGCCGTGTTTTTGCTCTTTTCTGTGGGCGATGGCTCTCCGTGCCGTCCCCTCCGGATTGTCTTGTCTCCTGCTTTCCGCGTGGGTGTTGTGCTTCCCATTGATGTATCGGATTTATTGCCGCTGTCGCTGTCTTTTCACTTCTTGAAAGCACACGCTAGGAAGGAAAGCAAGCGAACGCGAATCGCTACTGTGAAATTCTAAGGCTCTGAAAGGACCAACAACAGCACACACACCGCCCACACACACATATTTGTATGCTCTCACGTGTTGCTGCAGTGAAGGCACCCCGCACACACAACCGTCGCCGCGTGACCGGATCCAGCGGAAGGAGGAGGGAAGGAAGCGAGAGTGAGCCGCAGAGGCCCAACATGTCCCGGCGTGTGTTTGCTTCCGCGGTGCTGCTTCTCTTTGTCGTGATGATGTGCTGCGGCAGTGGAGCTGCGACCGCTGATGAGGCAGCGTCAGGTGAAAGGTCTCCACCAAAGACATATTTTGATTGGAGAGATGTGAAGAAAGAAGAAACAGTGGGGTCGCTTCGTGTTCCCAGTCTTGTTGAGGTGAATGGTGATGTATTTGCCGTTGCTGAGGCGCAGTGCACGAAGGGAGACAGTGTATGCGATTTTAATGGGATTGCCTCGGAGCTCCTGGAGTCGGCTGGCGAACAAACAGAAGAAGAGTTGGATAAAACTACAGTAAAGACACAAGTACTGGATAAATGTCCTTTTGATGGAGGGAATTGCCCCTCCCAAGAACGGGGTCCGGCTGTTTCTCAAAGCGAGACGAAGGTGCATGTGAGCCGACCAACAACAGTTGTGAAGGAAAGTGCTATTTACATGCTTGCTGGGACATACAGCCGGAAAGCCACAGTTGATGCTGAGGAGGGTGGTGCCGATGACTGGGGACTTTTGCTGGTGAAAGGGAACGTGAGTTGTGGGGGCAGTGAGAAAAGAATTGATTGGAATGATACTTACGGTCTACCGTGGGCTCTTTTTAAAAAACAACACGAATCCTTGAAGCGGCTCATTGGTGGCGGTAGATCGGGTGTTCGGATGAAGGACGGTACGCTTGTGTTTCCCGTGGAAGGCAAGAAGAAGGGGAACGTTGGCACTGAAGAGGATGTGAAGACCGATTCGCTGATTATTTACTCGAGGGACATTGCGAGTTGGGAGGTGTCGAAGGGG